GTCTAGGTGTCTATAGATGTTTGAAGAATTACCAGCACTAGACTTCAAATGTTCTTTAATATGCTACTCTAAACAACGTTTTGTTGATCCCACATAATCTCGTTCGCATTGAGAACAAATGTATCGATGAACAGTGTTCAAGTTTATTGATTCTGTCCTTTATCTTGAAAAAATTTATCTATTCTTAACACTGCTTTTAAAGGTACTGAAATAAGTGGATAGTTTGATTTCAAGATATTTTTGATTCTATTTCTCAAAGCATAACTGTCTTTTTTCCATAAGTGTGAGATTGATAGAATAACAATTTTGGAATATCATAACTCACCTTATGATGGGTGTACATGTTAGTTAAAAGATATCTTCAAACTGTTGTCAAGTAAAAACAGATGAAAACCGTTTCTTAAAACTTTTTTTCACACTTTATATTTCTTTGTGAAAATAATGGCAGTCACTAGCAATATTATAAGCTCTATAAAATATTTATCAAACTGATCTTAAATTTAATGAGTATAAAGCTGTCAACAACTGTACATCCATGACTGTATACAATGATTTACGATACATCTGCATTTGTAAATGATCACCAAAGTTGTTAATATTAAAATTTAAAAAGCCTAAGTAATTTTCTTCTTCAACTGTAAACTTGATACAACAAGAATATTGTTTGTTTAAATATTCTAAGATTAAGTTAAAGTTTGTTTGTTTTATAACTAACAAATTTATCATCAACACATCTATTGTATCTATCAGGTATAAAACTCTCTGGATAATTATTCAACCATTGTCTTTCATGATAACATAATAAAGGTTTGCTAGGCAAGGTATTAATTTTAAAGCCACAGCAACACTACCTATTTAATCATAAATACTGCTGTTAAAAGTGACATGAGATTTCTTAGTGAAATATAACTCAATACAATCAAATTTTATTAACCCTTGTAGAACTGTCATTTTGAAAAAATAAATACATATAAACATAAATTGCTGCTATACGAATTACCTCCTGCATTCACCAAATCTTATATCTGCCAGTTGTTTAAATATTCATATCTCTTAAATACATTAACTCTATGTATATGAACTTGATAATTTTCACCAACCTTGTAACCAGGAAACTATACATACTATAACTCTGAATGTAGTAAGTGTACCTTCACAAAATTTGGCAAGCTTTCTGTAAATATTTAAATGTCTGCTGTCCACAAAAAATCATATTTTTTTATAAAGTATTTTTATTGAAAATTTGTCTGTGAATTTACAAAGCCTTTACTGAGTCAGTCAGAGTGAATGAAGGTTGATTTTCACACTAAGAATAAAAATACCTCTGTTCACCTTAAAGTTTTCAAATTTCATTTGCATGAATAGCAAATGTTTTTTAGGTAAAATTTTACACTTTATTAATTAAAATCAAAGTTGAAAAATACAAAATAAAATCCACTTTTTGTTTTGAGAAATGACAGCAGATTGTAACAGACAATTAAAATGACTTATCTTAAGTTGTTTCTAATTTTTACATTTTCATTACTTTTGCTAAAAATATATAACAATAAATACAAAATATACATACAAAGCAAATTTACCATTAACCTTAGCCTATTTGTCATCAAGAAAATACTTTGATAAGACTACTTTTTTTTACAGTATGTTGGTTGCCCATAAAATAATAAGTGTTGTTTTCAAATATACATTTTAGAATACAAAACATATATCAGGCACTTAAATACAATGTCTCAAAGCTACTATAATTCAACTGGCTTTTTTAGCTAAGCTATAAATAGATTAGAAAATTTCCTATAGCTCCTCGGAGAATTGACTTCATGCAATACAATTTTTTTTCTCTGAAACTACTATCTCTCCTGCTAAAACAAACAAAAAAATTTAAAAGTGAACTACAATGAATTTTTCTCTTTCTATTGGTTATAAACATGTCCAATAGCAATGTCAGAGAAATTTACATGTCTTAAGAAACAGAGTGATGGAGGACATATTCATGTGGGTATCACAAATATAGTGATATCTCAGTAAAGCAATAAGACTGGATGTCAAATTTAATATGCTGATTTGCAAGTATCCACAGTATGTCTGTAATTAGTTGAATACTCTGAAAAACTAAAATGGAGAATTCAAAGTGCAGAGGCATCATGTGATACAGACAAATAGAGATCAAGAATTTGTTTGAATATTTTATTAGGATATTATGAAATTAAAACTTAGATAATATAAAAATTTGAACTTTAAACTATGTTTTGATGGCAAGCTTATTGACATATATCAATAATAGAGAAATCTTAAGTTAAAGTTTGAATGCAATTCCATAACAAGGTCATAACATGCATATTTTGACCCTTCCATTAGCATAGAGTTAAAAAGAGAGTTATAAAAACCTGCAAGTTTCTGGGTACAATTGCTACGTTCAAAAACTATTTGCCTAATGGGACAATTATTTTTATGAATTTTTGGTAAACCATATAACATACTACAATGATAACCTACTGATCTAATATCTTCATATATTTTATCAGTAATGACATCATATTTCTATAATTTTAAGAAATATCTTTAACATTTTTTTTTTGTGGGATCAAAATACATTTTTCTAAATTTAGTTTCATCTAATATTACTATAAGTACTTTATTTATTTAATCTTTCCTAATCTATGCCATTCCATTTATCTGGTTTAACTACAACTTATCTGATTAATCGATTGAATTTCTTGTTTCATTGTATTTAATTTACTTTGATAGAAGTAAAAATAAGTTAAGACCAATCCTCAAATCTCTGTTACAACATTAACAAAATTGTTTCCATTTTGTCCATAAATAGAATTATTCTGTAATTTCTTTAGAAGTCTTCAAAACATACAAAATAGTTATAATAACCAAGTTTTTCTGGTAATACTGAACACTTTAATCCTCTAAATAGTACTTTCTCTTCATTTCTGTAAGTTTATAAAAAAATAACTTATGGATAACTTTACCAGGTTTATCAATGAATGTTTTAACAATGTCCTCTGTTCAATTCATTTAATTTCCTTAACCCTAATGTGCATGGGTGGGAGCTAATGTGCGCAAGCCTTGAACACAATACCATTCAACGTGGTATTATGAATTTGATATCAGAGTTAACAACCTTTCCTATTACCTACTACTTCTGATTTCATAAAAGCTTGTTTTAAGAGAAAATACCATTTATGATATACAGGGATACTGAAAAAAATTTAGGTTTGTTTGGTTTTGAATTTTGTGCAAAGCTACACAAGGGCTATCTGCACATGCCATCCCTAATTTAGCAGTGTAAGACTAGAGAGAGGGCAGCTAATCATCACCACCCACCGCCAACTTTTGGGCTACTCCTTTACCAACAAATAGTGGGATTGACCATTGCATTACAATGCTCCCAAGGTTGAAAGGGTGAGCACGTTTGGTGTGATGGGGAGTCAAACCACGCCCTGCACATTACGAGATGAGTGCCCTAACCACCTACTTAGATTTGTACTAAGAAGGTTGTAGAGCTTATGTAAATGCAATTTTCAAACCGTATGATGGACACAAGTACTTCCGTTTTTTTACACGAACATCACCTTGCATATGACTTTCCATATACTCAGGCAGATTGCTTTCGTCATTTTACAAACATATCTTTAGTACAAAACTTTTATTAACAAATCATATAATTTGTGAAGGAGAATATTCAACTATTCAAGTGCTCATATTTTTAGGTCTTTAAAATCTAACTCCATAAGCAATAGGGTATGGGTCTTGTTAGCCTAATAAGAAATTGTACTTAGGCTGTTCTTAAATTTGTTAAATTTTCTATAGAATAGAATGCTTCATATATATGCTTTTCAGATCTGAAAATATTTGTACAAAGAAAACGTTCAGCTGCCTCTTAAAAAAATCGAATCACCATGTTTTTAAAAAAATATTTGGCGACTATTACCTTCTTTACCATTATTAGTATGCATTACATTTATATATTGGATTTACACAAAAAAATAGCTTTAACAATTTAAACAAAGGTGAAAATGAGTGCTAACTGCCTTCCAAAAGTAGCAGAATTGTACTTATAGGGTTTCAATTAACAAGGCTAAGATGACTTAAGGTTGATGACATTTTAGAAAATAACTTTAGAAATATCGCCACCTTAAGTCATTTTAACCATATTTAACAAAACCTTTATAGTTCTGCTATCTTTGTAAGACAGTTAGCACTCATTTTCACTTTTATGATACATATACTGCCTAATCCATCAGTTAAAGAACAGATTTAAAAATTGGCAGTCTGGGCAGTTAGAAAAATATAATCTTGATAATGTGGAACATATGAAAATGACAGTTATATGATCCTAACTTTTGTTCTACATGTTAATTACTGTTAATGTTTGAAGTATGAAGCAATTTTATTTTGGTTTGTATATTTTCTAGATCTATATATGTGAATGCCAAGCTGTACAATTTGGATATGACTGAGGGTATTAAGGAAGAATATTTTAAGAATTTCGTATAACAGTTCTAACATTAAAAAATAAGATTATTGCATGCTTTGAGAAAACAAATGAAAGTTTCCCACACAATGCATTATCTGATACAATTAAATATTATGACTGAGTCATAAATTTGAAAATAAAAAAGTATTTAGGACTAAAATTACAGCTACAATACACTAATAGTAATATAGTAAAATATGCGACTAATAGTAATATTAGTACCACTCACTATTAAATATATTATACTTTATAGTAATTAGTATTAGTAATGGTACTAGTACTAGTATTACTCTAGTCTAGTTTAAGAAGAAGCATTTCACACACAAAAACTGTCATTATTTAACATTTAAAACTAAACCTAGGTATCTATCATTTTAATAAAGTTCCAGTGTTCACCATGCCACAGTAACATCGCTTAGTTTGTCATAGTACTAAACCTTAGTAACCTAGGCAATTACTGGTACTGGTACAGTAGTAGTGATATTGAATGAAAGCAAACTCGTTGCAAAGCTACCTTGATGAAACGTTCAACAGCATCTTTTGCTACATCTAAAAGAGTTGGTCTTGCGCCAAGATACGTCCTTTGATTCATCGAAGCACTAGTATCAACTAGAAATAATATGATCGTCATGCTGAAATACAAATTTATTGGTTATTTGAGGTGTAAATATTCGTAATAATTTACAACTACTCCCTCTCAAGTAGACAAGGCGCCCTAACCGAGCGCCTCCTTCCTTGTTTCACTGTTCTTTGAGGGTTAGCAACGTATGCAGACCACGTGACATCGCTAAAGCGAAGCTCCATGACTGGCTCTTTTTCAAAGAAATGTAGCAATTGCTCCACAAAGGAAACGACGAACGCTGCACACGACAGTGTTATTAGTGCTAGTTGAAGTTTCAAGTTCCTTAGTGTCATTACAGTTTCATATATTTAATAGCTAAAACAAATTATATTGTATGTGTGAATTTTCTTCCATATTCAGTCACACTTTATCCATTACTTTTGAATTATTATTTTGAGAAAGGTACATTTATAAATCGAATCAAGCTATGAACATAAGGTAAAAATAAGTAACAAAACTATAAGTTAACATAACAACTGTTATGGTGCGAAAGCCTTTTCTAAGCTGGCAAATTAATTATACTTATCATAATACCTTAATATTAGACCTATTATATTTTCTAACATTGCATTCTTTATTTAGTTCTTTAGAAATATTCAAGAATTACAAGATTGCATAATATAAGTATTTCAACCACACTATGTTCGCCATATCCATTGCCGACGACGCATTTTGTTCAATCTGGAACACATAGGCTTTCTGAGACACAACAAGTATAGTAGGCTAATCACTACTTAAATAAACCATTTATTAGGAAAACAATTATTATATCATGAATGCCTCTTCCAAGCTAGCGAAGCATAATTATAATCAATTATACTTGTTATAAGTCATTAGTATTAAACCTATTATGCATCTTTACACTGTTATCATTTTTAAAAATATGTTAAAGTTACTAATACTCTCCATTCCCAATCATAACTTAGTGAATTTTATAATATATGCTGGGTAAACATCGGAAGATGCTGTTACGACAGCGGAAGTTACGCGACGCTGGAAGCATGCGCGCTGGAGTTTCTAGAACGACTGTTCCTGACAACTCTAGTCTTTTCAAGGCGCCCTCTATTTTAATATATAAAACCGGCAAATAATTGCAGATAGATAAAGAGACAGATAACTGAGTCAAGCGAGCGGTAGTGACCGTAACTAAAGTGCGGGAATCATTGTGAATTATAGCGTCTGTTTAAGTTAAAGTGACTGTGG